TCTAGCGCTCGCGAGTGAGTGAGTGTGGGACGAGGAGGGGAGGGTGATGGAAGGTGGTCCGGCCCGGGAGGGGGGGGCGACGCGGGGCGAGACCTGGCGGAGGGGGAAGGACATGGTAAGGCGGGACTTCGCTTGCGAGAGGCACACGTTCACAAATCTGAAAAACATTTGCGGTGAATACCACAGTTCGAAAGTTAGAATACTTTAGGACGTTGGCTTTGAAATGTCTTAAAAACCTTCGTTCTCACTATATAGTATTACATAATGTATAATAATGACCTAGTATGTAAAATAATATAAATGCATTAATAAAGTTTCCCTCAGAGCTGCGATTTAGTAGTGTAGAAGGGCTACAACCCACAAAACATGAATTTTCTTCATACCAATTCAGAAAACGAAAAATAATCTCTCCTACCACTTAATAATTTAACAGAAAACAATAAGAGTATAACGAGTGCGATTAAAATTATATTTCAATGAAACGTATTTGTTTCCGAACACTAAAAATCAGAACCACTGATTACCTGGTTTTGTTGGCACTGTTATAGATCATTCAATTTATACGTAGTAAAAGTGTGTGTTATTACGTAGGTGTGTGTGTTAGAGTGTGTGTGTGTTAGAGATTCCGGAGCACAAGAAAACGTGTCCAGATTATACACCATCACTATACGTCTCGTAGTATTTTTCTCTTTATTGACGAAAATAAATGAAATCAAATAAAATGTTATTTCACTTTTATTGTATTTCTTGTATGTAATCAGTAAATGATACTTTTATAAAATCTTCTAGCGATAATTCCAATTAGAAAGTGTTACTTAAAAATGTGTCTATGAAAACGGAATCTTCTTGATTTTGTTTTAAACGTGACTGTGAAAATGTTGAGTCTTTATCACATAAAATTAGGAGAAATATTATTTTTGAAAACAATTCGCTGTGTGAAAACCTACATAATCTTCACAGGCACGAGTCAGAAATATACCAATTGTTATCATATTTACAATAACTCGAGGCTTATTTTGACTTTTTTTCGCACCAGATTTTTACAAAGGACGTTTTCGAGACAAGGAATTTTACGAAGAATTACACGAAAAGAAAATTACAAAGAATTTCACAAAGGACATTCCCATGACAGTCATGCACTCTCGTGTTTCTACCGCTCCGCCTTAATGCGATGCACGAAGGACCTGTGCAAGGCAACGGCCGCCCTTCGAAAGAACCTGCCCCGAGGGGCGCGTGGGCGAAGGGCGCAGCGGCTGCGCGCGGCACGTGTCACTCGCTTCGCAGGGCCGAAGCCAGCCGAGTAATTGAGCGCGCGTCTCACACATTCATTTCAGAAAAATAAACCTGTTCACAATGGAAGGGAGGGGGGGGCGGGGGGTCGGAGGCCCCGCATTCACACTCGGGCGCACAAAGAGCTTCTGAAACGAGGCGGATGATTGGGGCAGAAACGTCTGTCAATCTGCTCGGCTCACCACACTGCGGACCTCCAATGGCAATTATAAGCCCTATTCCCCAAACGTCGAGCATTAACCTTATAAAAAGAAACTATTAAGCATCAGACAGCATTTTAACGCATCCTTTTATAAAGGAATTTCATATCCAGTGACACATTAGTTCTGAAATAGTCAGTAGATTTTTAATTTTTGATGAGGATTTACGAGCCACAATTTGAGCAAATAAATTAAATTATATTGTTGCAGTACTATCGCAAGTAAAATTCAACAAAGAGACGCAAATGGTCAATAATGTATGATGAAACGGTGAACAAAAACTATGAAATAATTAAATAATCGCACATCAAAGAGAAAATAAATGCAGATTACAATCGTTTTAGGTGTTACGTTTAACCGGAAAAAAATTGGAGTTATATCTGCCAGCTGCCGGCACAACACGAGACATCCTGATCGCCAAATCCCCCCGCAAATTCGTTTCGTGGCTTCCCTCGCCGAAAGCCCGCAGCGTCTGCGAGTCGCGGTCCGCGAGGGACGTCTTGACGACAATCGCCGCGCGGCGCCGCGCCGCGACGCGACGCGACGCGCCCTCCCGGCGGAGCGAGCTCCAACCCGGGCCAAGACAAAGTTGACGCAGCGGCGTCGCTTAAAGCTCGCGGATAAAACCTCATTTTATTACCACAAACAGCGAGCGCCTCCCGCAAGAATCACGAGAGCTCTTTTTCTCGGCCGCGCGCCGCTCCGGGCGAGGGCGCCCGCTTCGGACAATACCGCTTCGCCCTCGCCCTCGCCC